CACTCCCCTCCCCCACCCCCCCCAAATTTGGGATTCTACTAACTAGAAGCAGACCCTGAGATCCATACTATTTGGGATATTTGTCCAGCTGCTTGTTATGAGAATCATTTTTAGTAAGTCCTTCAGCTATTATTGCTCTTTTACTTAAATTTAGAGTTAAGTGCATATTCTGGTAGCTATTCTTTTGCACTTAAAATATGCCAGAAGTGAAGTATTTTGACTAATTTTTTTGCCTTTGTTTCCCAGACCAGGAATTAATTTTGCCAATAATATTTCAGACATGCAGCACAGTCTTTCAAATTGAACAGCCTGTTTCTTTTAAAAAAAGCTCCTCTCCTTTTCCACACTTACAAAACAAAGGCTAATCCTCAGGAAGCCCAGCTGATTTAAACTCAGCTTAATGGGCCAATTTCAATACCATGGTAGGACAAACCTTTACAGATAGTTTATTTATAAAGGAAGTGACAATGTGTGTGTGCTTGTTTTATACACACATATTAAAAAATAGTACTGAATCTTCTTCTTAAAAATTCACCAAAACTTTCCAGTAGATAAAATACAGCATTAAAGCTGAAGATCCACAGGATGAGAATTCAAATTATCTAGCAATTTTCATCATGTGAGAAACTAAAAAAAATTAAAGCAATAAAGGAACACGTGAAAGACCTAAGATAATCACTGGCTTTAGAGTTATAGTGGAGGGAGAAGCAGATTAAAAGGACATTTTTAGATATGCACAGTTTACAGAAAGCAAGTAAAGTTTTCAGCACCCCTGATGTCAGTAATAGCTCTGCTAGGGCAGAGACTGTAGCTCAGGGCAGAAGTCCTGGGCAGGAGGACTGCCTTTGCAGAGTTTGATGTGGCACCTTGAGATCAGAGGTGAAGCACAGACAGTAGCAATCACCTCTCCAGCACATTGAGACTAAACAACCAACTGCAATTTTTAAAAAGAGCCCAGGGAGACTAGGACAGCTAGATGAGAAAATACCAATCTTAATGCAGCAGCAAATTTTCTGTGGGGGGGGAAAATACTGAAAAAAAAAAACAAAACAAATCACCAAAACCCAAACAAAACCAAACCAGACCCAAGGAGCCCCACAAAAGACAGAAAAGTCCACGAACCTTTGGCCTCCAAACCTTTGAACGCTTGCGAAGCAGCTTCATAGCACTGACATACTCAGCCTGGATTCTCCGGGCAGGCACAACTAAATCCCCATCAGCCTTATTGATAGCAACCAGATCTGCCATCTCAATGATGCCCCGTTTGATGCCCTAAATGCAACAGGGACAGAAATCAGGAGTACCCAGAGGGGCTGTGACACACTGATTCATCACAAAAAGAAGGTCAAGATGGTTTGGTAGTTTCTAGTTTCCTCCCCAAAAATATATATAAATAGTAAACGTGTCAGAGTTAAGCCACAGAGTATCAAAAGTTTCCATCCTAAAAAGGGATCTTAACTGTGCTTGTAAGTAATGTGGATGACACTGAAAACACCCAATAACAGTATAATGGGCAAAACACTATTGATATGGACTTTCTGCACAGATACTACATGCAGAATTTAAGTTTCTCTTCCTAGTCTCAGGTAGTAACCAATAAGAGAAACTGAAAAATACCTGTAATTCATCTCCACCTGCAGGTGGTAGCAGTAATATAAACATATCAACCATATCAGCCACAGCAAATTCTGACTGGCCCACACCTAAAGAATTAAATTCAGAATTGACCATTACTACAAACTTTCAGTCACATAATTATGACAGATCCCAGCACTGCCCCACAAACAAATCCCACTAACAGAACAAAGACAATAGGAAACACAACAGTTTAGTAAAAGATATAGAGGACTAGAAAATATGACAGAATGAGCATTTGTGTTTAACCAGGGACCATGAAGGAAAACATGGGCAAAATCAAGGCTAGAAGTATGCCATTATTAGCACATCTTATTTTCATACCACAACAGGACAGTCAAAGCAATCCCTACACACATACCTACTGTTTCCACGAGAACAACGTTGTAGCCTCCTCCTTCACAGAGCAGAATGGCTTCATTTGTGGTCCTTGTGACACCTCCCAGTGTCCCACTGGTTGGAGATGGCCTGATGTATGCATTCATGTCTCTTGACAACTCAGTCATCCGTGTTTTATCACCCAGCAGGGAACCTTAATGTTAAATTATTTCAAAAGTTCCACACAGCCAAACTTGCCCTTCTCCCCTCACCCCACCAATAAATGAGTGAGTAAAGACACATCTTTTGTACAAAGTCAGTCAAATAAGAATATCCTAGTCATAGTTGCTCAAGACTTAGCTGAAAGCTACTGCCTGGTTCTTCTACTTCTCAGAAGCTGCAAAGGCCTGACTGCTACCAAATACAAAGAATTTGTGCTAGGTCAGAATGAGTTCTACAATTTCTGAATGGCTTTTTGAAGAAACCTATACACATCAGGCCATGCAGATGATTCTACCTGGTACCTGTCCAAGGACACAAATCTCTGCATTATGATTCTGATGTGCCTTGATGCTGGATATTTCATTTTAAGAGAGCTGACACGTGTCCCTGCCTTCCCTTCTACTCAAACAAACTGCAAATCAGATTCCGTGAGATCTACACACTCGATGCACACTCCAAAAGATGAGAGATGCTCAAGTCTTCCAACTGGTGCAGTCTTGCTGTCACATTTTGCTATTCTACTGATGCATCCTGAAGGCATGCATTCAAGAACACAGTCTGTCTTAGCTCCACGTCATTGCAATGCTCTAGTTATTTCTTTATAAATAGTTACACACCTCTAACAGCACAGAAGCTGGAAGAATTAATGATGCTGCCTGGCAGCTGTCCTTTACAAAAAGATGAAAATCAAGATTGTATTATTTGTATCAGAGATACCACAAATCAGGCATGGTCAGCTTATAATTTCCCTACAATTTTTTATTGGAGAGTTACAGATCACAGCCTGTCATCAGTAATCCTGCACAACTTCCAAAAAATTCAAATTTAGGGAAAAAACCTGTAAGGCAACATTTGAACACTGGAAAAGAGTAAATCTGAAAGAATTACAACACTGATTCTATTTCCCAATTATGTATCACATAGGAAAAAAATATGAAAACTTGATTTATTTTTTATTTTACAGTTATAGGCACCAAATTTTCTTCCACTTGGTCTGAAGACATACTTCTGCAGTTAACAAGGTATTAGAAACTTGACTCAAACTTTAATTCACACTCACCACCACTTGTACTAGAGGAAGGGTCTACAGCCAACACAGACACTTTGTGTTTTCTTTCTGTAAGCATCTTCCCAAAGCATTCTATGAAGGTCGATTTTCCAGCACCAGGAGGACCAGACAACCCTAAACAATCACATTAGGAAGAAAAACCATTTTGTTAGTCAAATAAATAATACATCTCATATATCAACATCTAAGTTGATAACAATTTATACTTTAACACAGCATCACAACAAAAGCAAATAAAAGCTACGCCAAAACAAAAGAGGAGTTTGGCAACACAGCAGCACTTCACCACCCCTCATCTTATTGACACCAACATAACATTGAGTTTATCCTCTCCAAAAAAAATCACTTATACTGTATGACTTACCCTTCAGAACTTTCAAAATGTTATATATTAGAACTGCATTTTTCAGATTTACTGTAAAAGAAACACTACAAAAGGAAAAGCAAGCCCTTACCTTGAAGAGCTGTTCTTTCAAAAAAATGAGGCCATTTATTTGCATGTCAAAGCTCACAAACTAAGATTAGCACCAAACTTTTCTCACTCCCATGCCCCAGTTCTTGTTCTTACTACCGTTGTACAGACAGGAGAGATGACAGCTGGGCATGACACATGTTAGCAGTCCATCTCTTTGTAAGGGAAAAATATTTTACAGCTTCCAAGAAATGCAGGTTCAAGTCTCCTTCAGCTGAAAAGTAGGCTGCTTAAGAGAGGGCCATAAAACAGGAAGGTGCATGTTTTCCCTTCTGTAGACTAAAAAAAGGGATTCAGAAAGTGTTCAAGAAAAAAACTCTGGGAAAAGACTAGGTGTGCTTGACTACATCTTTCCCTAAGTGTAGATAACACCTGCATCAATCTGCAAATTAACTAATGTTTCACCTTATAATGGTTACAAAACCCACCCTGAATAACACACTCCCGAAAAGCAATGATAATTTTTAAAGCATTTTCATCTCAAGCCATAATTCCACTAGAAAACAGAAGTAATCTAGATTGGTTATAAAACACAAAAAGATAAAAATCCAAGAATACAGACCACAAATAACAGTGATAATAAACAGTGAGGTCAGTAATTACATGTAAGCAATACAGGTAAGCAAAATACAAGGCATAAAAGGACTAACCCACTCTAAAGGCAAGTGGCTTTCCTTGATTTAACTTTTCCTGTTCCCTGTGGTAGGATAATACCTTCTGAAGGAGCACCTGGGCTACTTTCTTCTTCCTACTCTGAGTTGATTCTACAAGTGTAATGGCTTCAGCTAAACAGGCTCTATGACCCTGGATCAGCCCATGGTAAAGCCTGTCTACAAGTCTCTGCTCCTGGTCAGAAAGTCCCTCTACTTGCTGCTCAGGGGCTGCTTGCTGGCACAGCTCTCTCCTCAAAGCGTTTGATGAACAAATCCATTTTGTCTGACAGTGATGTGCTGGCCCAAGAGATTCAACGCCCAGGAAATCTGCTCGGGAAGTGAAGCAAAAGCTCATGAAGTATGTTCTTCTGGAGAAATAACAACGAGGGAATCTCAGCAGCAAAGAGGGGATCTTCATCTTGTTTGGAATTAAAAAGTACCAGAGTTGTCAGTTCTCTTCTGTTTGCACACGCCCTAAAGAGAAGGAAAAACATCTTTACTTTCTTCAAAGTACTTGTGAGGACTTCAAATTTACGTACACCCATGATAATCAGCTTGTATTTGACCTGTACCTGTGCCTTGAATAAAAATGTGACTGTCCACTTTTCCCGTTAAAGACACAATAAAAAACAAGCTATAGAATCAAAAGCACAGCATCTCTTTATTATCATACTTCATAAACGAAAATATAAGCAAGTACTTTCAAATAGCCTCCGAGAGCACACGCAGCACATTACTAGTCCAGGAACAATCAATCCTTACGCTTATGGAAATGGCGGTATATTCTAGTTTGAAGGGCTAATTTTAGTGCTGCTTTTAACAACTATTCGGAACTAGAGCATATTTGCACTTATTTCCATCAGAGAGAGATGAGAAGAAAAAACGGGGGCTGGGCAGGGAGTTCAGACACAAGAACACTGAGAAATAAACAGGAGGAGCTGAAGCCTCCCTGAGGCCCCCGGGCGGCCCCAGCCCTGCTCCCGCTCCGCCGCCTCAGCCCGGGGCGGCCGCTGAGGGGATGAGGGCACGGGAAAAGCCGCCGCCCCCTGTCATTCCCGGCCGCTGCCCGCCATTCCCGGCACCTACCGGAGCCGCCCCGCTCCGCCCCGGGAAGTGACGCCCTCGGGCTGAGCCGGAACCCGCTGCCCCGCCGGGAAAAGGGCGAGCAGGGCCGGGAAAGGGGGGGGGCTTCAGGGCGAGGAGCGGGCCCGCCACCCCCCGGGCCCCAGAGCCAGGGGTCAAGGCCGCAAGGCTCGCGTCTGGCCATTCCATGAGTACGCAAACTTCCATGGCCATGGAGTCACTGTCTCCCTGCCCTGGCCTTACAGTGGAGGATATTTCAAACCATTTCTCTCCTGGTTTAGAAATACCCACTCTTGAATCCGTGCGTGGCGATTTATTAGTCCTCCCGCTTCGTTTCGTAGACCACGAAAGGGAGAAGAAATGCTCAGGTCACCGCATGTACTTATTAAATCACATTGACTTTCAGTCTTACTAAACCTCCTCTTTAAAGTTTCCTGTTGTGGAATGTTGGTTTATTGTGAGGCGGGGTTTGTTTTGCTTCCTTATTTTTTATTTAACTATTACTATTTCTCCAGTCATCTCTCCACCCTGTTTCTGCCCATCTTCTTGTTAAAGCACACAGATCTATTTCCAATAAACGTAAATGCACATAATCCACTGGCTGAGCTGTTCCCAGTGCCTTGCACTGTCCAGCAAAGACTTTTTCAGTGTCATCAACATGGGCAGTGAAAATGAGAAATTATTAAATAGTAAAAGTTTGGTTCCGAACTGCCAAATGCACGATTTAATTTCACTGGTGTTATTCCAGTCCAGAAGATGATGATACACAGAGAACCGAACACTTCAGGGCTAAGAAAATATGCAATTTTGTGTCCCTATCAGCATGGGATGAAACCATGGCAGAAAGAGGCAAGAAGTTCCATTTCAAAATAGCCTTGTGAGGTCTTTCTGTTTAACCAAATATTTATTCACCAGCATTAGCATGGATCACTATAATTTCTTCATTTACAAGCTTTCTAAGGCTCTCTGTTTCAAGTGCTGGGCTTACACCTAGGTAATACATCCCCACTATTATTTTAATAAAAACAGAAACAACAACAACAAAAAACATTCTACTATTACTTAATTTATCCTTCAATTTATGCCCCTTTGTGTTCTCCAAAATTGAATACTTTTGTCAGTGACCTCGATGAACAGGCGTGAAAAATTGCACATTTCATCAATGCTGAAGAGGAGAGGGGACTGTTCAGTTCTCTATGATAACCTTGTGGACCGTAATAATAGGAGTGAGATTAGTGTGCACTCAGCAGTTGAGAACAAAACTGCTGCTCTTTTATACAGCCCATCAGCTGTACTGCCAATCTGAAATGGCCACAAACAGGCATGAATCTGTTTTAGAGTGTCTTCCTGCAAGAACTGTTTGCAAGACTTTGCACACTGATGAGTTCTGGAACTCTAAATTGCTCAAGTCATCCTCTTTTTTTGTTCCTCTTTCCCCCCCACCAAATCTGTTATTTGAGAAGTTTGCTCTCCATCAGTCAGACACTACAGTCTCCAAATGCCAGATATGAAAGAAAGACTTTCTATTTCCTTGACAATTATATACACCCTTTCTTTCAATATTCTTTCATATACTGAAGATTATATAGGTCTCCTAGAACTATGTGCTCTTCTACCACTCTGATTTTCTTTTACTCTAACCTCATCCAAAATAGGCAAAATACTCCCTTAGAGGCTGCATCATATCTAGAGTCTTCTTAATCTACATCCTGCCATACTATACAGTGTTCTTCTATTTCTCCTATGGTCTTCTAATGTATGCAACTGAAGAGGGGGATGTTTTGATTGTTATTACACCCAATAAATTTTGGTCAGACTCACTGTAATTTGTGCTTTCTCATCTCCAGCATACAGATTTCTCTTGGCTTCTGTATTCTTTATCAATTCATCATTAATTTACTTAACATTGTTGCTGAGCTAATCAGGAGGGTAATTCAGTAGCGTTCCACATCAGCCTCTGTTACTCCTTTATCTTAAAAATTATCTTTCAGATTTGGGGTGGGGGGAGTGTGTTTGTGGATTTTGGGGAGGTTAATTTCAAATTTAACTCATATTCTGTGTTCTCTTTGCTTCTTTTCCCCATGGGTGTCAGAAGAATAAAAATGCGCACCCCATAGTTACTCCATCACAGTCTGCAAACTTGTCGAAGATTTAAGAAAATTATCAGTTTTAACCTCCTTGCTGCAAATTTATCCCAGTGTTAAATAAAAGGGTATTGCTGGTAACTCATGAAATAGCAGTCTTCCTTCTGAGCCAATACTAAATCAAACATCCTGTAAAGTGTTATAAATATTGTGCCACAACCTAGAGGTGCAGGGAGGCAGAAGATATTCAAGGAAAACGTGCAACCAAACCCGGATCATTACAAAAGAATAGAAAAAGACCCTTCTGCAACTTCTCACAGCAGGAATGCTATTTACATTAAAGTCTACAAAATTCAACTATGCAAATTTACATTCCTTCTAACTGGTTTGCCCTTGCAGTTTTAGTTGGATTAGTTAATTCTTTCTTTCTTTCTCTGGCCACACTGATTTCCTTGCTCTGTTCAGCCCCTCTTTAAAAACCCCCACAGTAATGTTTGTGCACGTAAATAATACAATGATGTTTAATATAGTCATAGACATTTCTTTACAGAATGCACCAATAAAACATTTTCTTTACAGAAAAGGCCAATACAAAATCACAGTCCCTGCCATGGTACAAACTGAAACTGCAGTGGTGACCAAATGACCATTTGCCCTTTATTTCAGAAGGCATCCCTCAATTCATTTCAGTTTTCACAGAAACAGAGTAGTTTGATCCAACCTTCTCTTTAGAGCAAAACACAAAGTAAGGTAACCGCTGGTTACAGCCTTCCTTTCATGAAGAAAGGCTAAGCCTTTCAAGTCCTTAGCACTCTTAGACAAAATATACCTCCTGCCTTATCTTAAAAGATAAGTGGGCACCTGAAACAAAATCACTAGAAAGCATATTCATAGCTGAAAGTTTGCCTGTTGAAATGCAACTTGAGCCCAGGCCTCAGATCTGCAAACACAACTCAGGCAAGGAAATGCCAGGAAAAAAGTTCATCTCCCCAAAAGCTCTGCAACTGCTACATCAAGAGGTGATGGCTGACTGGAGCATCCCAAGGTTTTCCTACAAAGGCCAGAACAGGATAGCAGGACAGTTGCCTGGCTAGCAATGGACAAAACAGCCTTTCCACAGCTTCCCAAGGTCAGCCACCTACACAGAGGGGAGAACTCCCCAGCTGAGCAGATTCTCTGTACCTGTGCTGCTGAGGAGCCACAAGGTTGTCAGGGCTGCTGGAGCTTAAAAGCTTGGAAAAAATAGATTTGTTCTTGGAGCTTTGGCTGAGACCTGTAAGACAGCATCTGAAGAAAGCAGAAGGAAAAATGATCTTAAATAACTACGGTTTGTATTTGTGTAACAATTTTATAAACAAGGGAGCTGAAGTTTCTTCTACAAAACCTTACAGCAGTCTCTTCAACATTTACTTGTTGGTATGAACTGGGCAGTGATTGCACAGTAGTGAGACATCAGCCATTACAGGAAAGTTTTTACTGCTCATGCACCAGATTTTTAATTGTTAATGATGAGCTGCCTGATGTGAAATCATTTTTAAAGGGGACAGCCAAAACAATCTTTTTTATAAAAGCAACTATCTTTTCTGTAAAAAAAGGAAAGACATTTACTATATAGGCAAAACCCCCAAACATTCATAACACTACTACTTGTTGTAAAAGCCAGTTAAATAATGTTCTCCAAGACTGATTCATTGTTAAAATTATAAACCTGAAAAAGCAAGTCACTTGCCAGTAAAATATTATTTCTTTTTCTTTCAATTAAAAAAGTATTTAAAAGCTTGGCTTAAAGAGTATGTTTTTCTTCATGGCCACCAATGACTCATGATATTAAAGTATTTCTCATGTAGTTCATTACTGCTCAGCTCAAAAGGAAATCATTAATTGCCTCCTCCTGTTTTGTTTTTTTTTCAATACAGCAATGAAACCATAGCAAACATGCTATATTTTTATATATGCTAGCAAGCAAGCAAGCATATATTTTTTAAACATAAAAAATATAATACAGTCTGACACCTGACTTTGCTGAGACACCCTCATTCCCAGCTACTTTTTGCTTAAGGAAAAGCCTGATTGGCTGCAGTTTTTAAGTTCTGTAGTAAAACTCAATTCCTGAGCAGAGGACTGAGACTTGAAAGTGACTAAATATAACCCTCCTTCCCTCCAGCCCAGGGTGCTAAAGGTTTATTATGTCAGTTTGAAGTGAGCACAGTCTTATACACCAAAAAGTGACTACTGTGGTTCACAAGGTGAAGCATCCATAAATCTCTCATACATTCCGTGTTTTTCCCTGCATCTCCAACAGCACTGGTGCTCAGAGATCTTTGTCCCACCCTGAGTGCCTCACTAGCACATGAAAACCACAATTGGTAGAAGTGAGATAGTGGGGAGAATTATCCATAGGAACATAACATTACAGCAAAACATTTCAAAACATTTCTGTTCCAAGATGACACAGCCAAGATGAGGAGGAAGACCAAGGCCACAGTAAATCTGATAGGCAGGATTCAAGACTGAGATGTAGGAAAACCTAAGTGTTTCCAGTTGGGACCAAACCTGTGGTGTGAACAGGGAAGGCTGTTTCTGGCAGGCTGCCCAAGCCCCTTAAACACGAGGTACTGTTTATCATGCTGGAAGTTTCTGCTGTGTAGGTATTTGCTTGCTTACTCTCCAACATGCCCACAAAAGCAAGACTTTGGTCATACAACCCAAAATTGTGTGTGAGCTAAATGTCCCATTTTTCCAGGCAGCTGTAACAGATGGGCAGGAACAGTACAAAAAGGGAAGATTCTGCTAAGATTCAGTGTTGTAAGATCAACCCATCCAGAAAAACAGCACAACAGCATTCTAACAGACTGACTCAGAAAGGGCTTGTTAAAAAGCCTGTTGGAGCATACTGTGTCATTGCTTTACACCACAAAGTAAACACCTTCATATAAGTACACCCTACATTTACAAAGCTTAGCCTAATGATACAAAATTCTGTACCACAGAATTAAGATGAAAGAAGAATCCTTAAATAAGACAAAAAGGGAAGCAAAAAATTCCAGCGTCGAAACAACAAACCCCACTGCAATCGTAACTGATGCAGTTGCATGGGGAAAATTAGCATAGAGCATATGAAAAGAAGCAAAGTATTTGTTTCGAGGACCAGCTTATAGAGGTCCAGAAGGGAAATTTGGGATCTTTTTGTCCAGAAGTTGGTATTTTCATCTAATTGCTTTCCCAATTAGGTCCATGTTTAGAAAAGAATTCTACATTCAAGCAGCAACCCCATCTCAGTATATCATTATATTGCAAGAATCAAAGATGTTCCACCTGCGTTTTCCCCCCACTGGAAGTTAGCGGTTAATTT